GAATGCAGATTTATCTGCTTGACATAACTGGACATGAGGAAGCCTGTCCTTTGTGAAGTTCTGCAAGTTCAGAGGCTAAAGCTGATAAAAGAATTGCCTGTAGGCAAGGCATCTGTGTTCCTTAAACTTGCTTAGCAATGTTATTACTATCCTGCAGAACTGCAGTGTCTGGAATAGGGCTCCCCCTACACTTCTTTCTTCTTCCTCCCATGAAGCATCTATAATTGGGTTATAATAATTAATATTTTAATTTTTAAAAATATTAAACTTATCTTCAACTCTTCAAAGTAGAAGATTCAACATCTAATTCATAAAGCATGTGCATGAAACTTCTGTATATTTGCAGTATATTAACAAAACCTGGCTTCAGTTTTGTCCAGTGAAGCCTGCAGCGAGACTTGCAAATAATATAAAGCAGGATGGGCCAAAGAATGACAATTCTGTTATGTGATAACTTTTGGGGTGTCAGAACTTTTTGATCTTTTTCAACTTAAGGGCATAACTTTTTGTGGTCTTCCATTTAAATATGCTGAAAAAATGTTTCTGAATTTAGAAGGTAAGGTGTTCTGGTTTGGAGTGATGAAAAAAAATTCTCTGCAACTCCAAAACTTTTATATTTAAGAGATGTAAAATATGTAAAGTAAATATATTTCTGCTGAACATTTTGGAGTTGATGAAAAGTGTATTTGGATGCAAAGAAATTTAGTCAAAAAGTTTGAGTAATTTATTAGTTGAGACTGAAACAAGTGATGTGATTTGAAAATTTGCATCTTGAGTGGTCATAAAATGATGGTACTGAGAAAAGGAAATGACCAACTGCCGTATTCTTATTGTAGATTTGGGATTCCTACTTTTTCCTTGCTGTCATTTTTATAAACCAGTTATGTCTGCAACTGGAGATGTTCACACCTTCCAAGAAGAAAAAGGTTTTAGAAAAGTAAGTACTCCTGTCAGCTTCTAGAAGACTGCAATAGATCAAACACTTCTCAAAATGCAAGGCATGGGAAGTTGCAAAAAGGCCTGCCAAAAAGGTAACAGTAACACTATTTCCACTCACTGGAATGAGAGTTGTCCCTGGCCCTCTTTATAGGTCTTCAGAGCTGATAGTGGGCTTCATAAAGTGCCCAAATTGGTTTAGATTTGGGGAGCAAAACAGCCACATTCTAGCAGTGCCAACACAAATTTCCAGTTCATGCGTAAGTTGATTCATACTGGTTCAGGTGTTTCTGCCAGGCACCGCACTGTTGTCTATATGAATTAATTGTATTTCTTTAAGCTAGACTAAAACTATTTGTTCTGAGAGAGAGAACTACAGCATATTACTGCAAAAAGTAGCTTTTGCTTCAGCTGTGTTACTGATATATAGCATTTAGAAAGAACTGATACTTTTGACACTGTTGCAAATAAACCTGGGTTTAGGAATCAAGTTTTAGCTGGGTACAATGGAAAGAGGAAAAACTTGGAAGAAATCATCACTTCAAAAGTAGTTTTTTTATCGACTACAAATGAGGCATTTCATTTAACGATGTCACAGAATGGTACAGAAACTTGATTTTCTTAAATGATCTTTCAACTATTTTGCTTTATGTTTTAATACATTGCAGATACGGTGACATGCGGGTAACAATGGGGTGTGAAATCTTCAGCATGTGGCAAAATTTAGGTAAGTAATTACAACATCAGTAGCTCATAAAATGAAAAACAATTAGTATTTCTTCACCTGTTAAATACACTTGCCAGTGATAGAGGAGTTGTTGATAATTAAGTTCACATGAAGTCTTGATTCAAGTTTAGGAAAACCCTAGTCATCTGTAGTTCCCTTTGTTATAGCTCAATTCAGCTTTCTAAGCCCTGTTTCTTCAAAGAGAACTCAAAGAATACCAGCAGAGAAAATTAGAAAAGAAAGTACTGCTCATTTTGGACAGAATTATTATACCTGGAAATATACTTATGTTCACAATTTTAGTTCTGTTGTCAAACAGAACAGAATTTTAAGAAACAGACATATATCTTAATTCTGAAGCT